GAACCTGGATGAGAGTAAAGACTTGGAAAAATGTCCATGAATATCTTTTAGGATGCAATCCACCACCCTAGAATTGGAAGACTATTTATTTATTTCTGTCAGATACATCTCGTTCTGTTGCAAGGTCCCTCAGAGGGTGGGTGCCAGCAGGACCCAATGGCTCTTGATAGAAGCTGGTATGTTTAATTGGTAAACTTTTTAGAATTAAAAAATCCCAACCCTTATGAATTAGCTATGTTTCAGTGACATAATTGCTTCATAGGGCATATATCAGACAGAGTAATGATTTGTAAGGGATTAATCTAAAATGCAACCAGTAATCACAGTCTAAAAGGACTCCCAGAAAATGGCTTTGTGTTACAGAGACTAGAGAAGGTAGGGCTTCCTTTGAAAACATTTCCCATGACCACGAACAAGATCGGTATCATCTCTCTACCACCGACAGAACAGATGCTCAACTCTTTGGCCTCATGATTGTAATTTTTTCATTTTCTATTTTCTTGTTATCATCACGTTTGTGGCATGTAATGATCCCATCCATCATGGGGCATTGGTACATGCACATAACAGATCTTAATTCTTTTTATTCCTCTTCCCTTTCCCTCCCAGATTATCTGCCAGGGACTGAATTGTGTTCTACCCTTCAGATGTATCAGTTGAAGTTGTAATGCATCGATGTGACGTATTTGGAGGTCAGGTGTTTAGGGAACAGTTCAAGTGAGATGAAGTCATTAAGGTCAGACCTTAATATGATGGATCTCGTGTCCTTATAATGAGATGAAGGAATCCGAAATGCTCACCCCCTCCCTGTGCACACAGAAGAGGCGGCGCGAGGACACTGCAGGGCAGCGCCCTCTACAGGCTGGGAGGACAGCTTCTTCCAAAACCAACTCCAGTGGCTTTGATCTTGGACTCCAGAAGGGGGAGAAAAAATGTCTGTTGCTTAAGCCACCCAGCCTACAATATTTTGTTATAGGAGCCCAAAAAGGTGATAAATAGATCATCTTTCTAAGCTTTCTCTTACTGCTCCCACTTCTTTCCTCTTCCTGGAGTTGGCTGTTTCCGTGTTTTTGCTCCTTAGTGTGAGGAGCACTTTCCTGTCACACACTGATGTCAGGATCTGTGGGCTTTTCCTGTGGCTCTGTTCAAATGACATCTTCTCCTGGGAGTGGTGATGGTTAGTTTTGGGTGTCAACTCGAGTGGATTGAGGGATGCTTTGGAACTGGTAAAGCGTGATTCTGGCCATGTGTGTGAGGGTGTCTGCAGGGAAAGTCACCTGTGAGTCAGGAGCTGAGTGGGGAAGGCCCTCCCTGAACACAAGTTGCCCTGTCCAATAGGCTGGGAGAGCCAGGAGAATGAAAAAGCCAAACAAACAAACAAACACTAAACAAACAAACAAAAAACTGGGAGAAACTCATACTGGGCTCTTGCTTCAGAGATACATGTATTTTTGTCCTACTATCACCTGTGGATTCCAGGTTCGAGGTTCTCCAGGCTTTGGATATTGATGTACTTGTACCCATGGAGCACATTTGGGCCTTTGGCCTTGGACTAGGGCTGTGTATTGTTCTTTCATGTTCTGAGGCTTCTTTCTATCTTATAGACAGCCCTTTAGGACTTTTCAGCTTCTGTGGTCATATAAGCCAATCCCTTGTTTATTTGTGCATGTGTGTGTGTGTGCGTGTGTGTGCATGTGCGTGTGTGTGTGTGTATGTGTATGTGTGTACACACATTCTATTGTTTCTGCTTCCCTAGAGAACCCTGTCTGTGATAGACAAGAGTGTACCCTGCCCAAAATTCATCATTACTGGAATATCAGATTGTGGCCTGATCTGGCAGCAGAGCCCGAGGATCAATGCTTAGTGTCCTTGTGAGAAGTGGAGAGAGAATGGAGGCTAGTGGCTTGTGCATGCGAGGCCAGTGCTCAAACACTGAGCTGCACCCCGGCTTCCATAGCCAGGATATGAAGAGAAAAGGGGAAGGGGAAGAGGAGAGCTAGGTCACTGACTTCTTGAAGGGCACCCCCCAGTAACTGGAGGGTCTCCACTAAATGTTCCTGCCACCACCCAGCAGCAGCAAACCTGGGATGTGGCCTCTAACTCATGAGCCTTGAAGGACATTATTGATCCTAACTGTGGCAAGGCCATGGGATTTAGACTTGGGGTGGGGGATTGGGGACCATGTAGTGAGCTCCCTAGTTTCACATTAGGAAACTGAGGGCAAAAGAAATTGTGACTCGCTTCTTGTTAGGGCTTATATCTAGATCCCCCCACAAGGTCTCATGAGTTTGTAGGTGGAACTTTTGGGGGGCAATTGGATCATGGGTGGATGATTCATCAGTGCATTATTCCACAGATGATTTTAGCTAAATGTCATTGGGAGGTGAGGCTTGGTGAGGACAGGTGGGTCACTGGGTTGTGGCGTGGAAGGGTTACTCTCTCCTCCCCTCTTGACTGCTTTCTGCTACCTGACTTCCATGCTCCATGCCATTTGCCTCTGCTGTCCCCGCACATCATTCCACCTGCCCAGGAGACAGCTGATTACAGACTGAAAGTTCTACACGCTGTGATCAAAAAGAACCTTTCCTTCCTTAAGTTGTGGGTGTCAGGTTTTGTATTTCAGCAACAAGAAAGTAATAAGACGGCTATCTGGCTTAAGTCAAGTAGACCCACATCAGGTCCTGAGTCCTGCCCCACCGAGCTGAGGTGCGAGATGCCTCGCATCAGTGGCGCCAAACCTATGGCACACATGCTGCAGTGAGCCGTTTGTTATCACTAAAAGCCTGAAAGGTTCGCCATCCCTGAATTACATAGAAATCAGGAAACTGGCGAAATTTCTGCCTTTATAGAAAGTAACAAACCTGAATTCACCTGAGAGAACAGATAGAACAAGAACAGGGCAAGTTCCAGAAACACAATAAGGTTATTGTTTCTAGGTTTATTGTTGCTAGTACATGTTTGCAGGAAGTGATTTTGCTCCTTCTGGGAAGTTGGTGTGTGCACATAACACACACACCCTAATACTTTTTCATCCCCCTTCCCTCTGTACCTTCTCTTTCTTTCTATCTCTTGTCTTCTTCCCAATTGCGAAAGACCCCTTGCTCTCCTTCCCATCTTTTGTTGGTTAATTTCTTTATGCTTTGGATTTCTCATGTAGAAGAAATTATGTGATATTTCAATCTGTGTGTCTGGCTTATTTCACTTAACATTATGGTCTCAATGTGCAATCATTTAACTCAAATTTTTCCTTCTTTATAGCAGAATAGTACGCCATTGTGTATAAAAACATATTTAAAACATCTATCCATCTGTTGACCACTTCTAAGATCTATCTCTTATGAGTTGTGCTACTGTAAACATGGGTACACATATATCACTGTAATATCATGCCTTCAGTTCTTTCAGGTAGATACCCAGCAAGGGAATAGCGGGGTCAGATGGAATTTCTCCTTTTACTTTTTTGAGGGATCCCTGTGCTGGGCTCCACCATGGTTCTACTAGTTTGCATTCCCACCAACAATGTAGAAAGGTTCCTTTTTTCCTGAAACCTTGTCAGTTTGTTACTATTTGATTTCTTGATGATAGCCATTCTTTCTGGAGTAAGATGGAATCTCTGTGTTATTTAACCTGAGATTAGTTTAATTTGAAAATGAATTTAATTTGAGAGATGGTGAACTTTTTTTCATGTATTTATCGGCCACTTGCACTTCATCTAAGAAGGTTATAAAGATCCAAAAACAAAGATTCTTTGGAGTTCATGTTGGAGAATGTAATAAAAATTGGGCACAGTCTGGGATGCTGTTGATTTAGGGATATTTATTTAAGACTTGGGTTGGAGGGTCATCTTATGCCCTAAATTAGCAGTGAAATAGATTTTTAAGGCAGGTAGATCAGGTGGAGAGATCTAGAAGAGACACGGGCAAACAGCTCTCGATTGTGTCTATGATGTGCTGGAGAGCTTGACTCTTCCTTCTTGGACCTGAAGTGATTATGTTATTGATCTTGTTGATCTCCCTCCTTGTTAGGTTGGAATCTGTAGGAAGGTGCTGTGAATGCAAGTGACCGGTTAGCTTTAGAACTCCCCCTACCACGGCAAGATCACATGGCTGCTTAAAGGACTGAAGTGCTCAATTCATAAAGGAAATAACTGTCAGCAAGAGAGCTGATGACATTTTCAGATAGGCTTTATTTCCTAGTGAAGAATGCTTTGTAAAAAGAGTCTGTGATTGTGACAGGGAGTGTTCTTAGTTCTCAAAGGAAGGTTATGCTTTGCTCTGTAAATGAAGAACTGTGCCTTTAAATGACTTAATGGGACATTTTCAAGCAACTCAGCACTTGGCAGATTTCATCTTGATGAGCAGGAGCAGGTGGGTGGCTCAGGCTTCTCAACCTTGAAGAGATGACCCCAAATGACTCTGTGTTTTTCTAATCGCTGCAAGATAAAATAAGGGTTAATGAAAGACTTAGAAAAAGGTGCATATGCTATTCAAGTAAGGGAGGGAAAAAGGTGTGATAGAGAAATGGACAAAGCCAGTGTCACAAAACACAAAGTGACATTAAATGCTGGCAACAGACGCGAGGGGTGTCTGGTGTTTGGTGGAAGCTCAAGAGAGGAGAGTTTTCTGTTTAACACAAAGGAATTGCACCCAGCACTCGATACATGAGCATGCATAGTTTTGTAACTCCTAAGTGAGAGATCTCTTTTGTTTTTTCTGGGTGAGAGAAACCATGCCAAGAAAGCACACCTTCAAAGGTGAAGACTTACACCTCGTCCGAAGCTTGGTAGACTTTTAGTGCTTGAAAAACATGTAACTTTCTGAGATAGTTTCAGACTGCCACCATTTAGACACCACCTTTCACTTTTTTGCAACAATCCTATTTTCTTCGCTAATGCCCCTCCCTCTTCTGCGTCGTCTAATCTCTGTCCCTGCCAGCGTGGGTCAAGTTTCTGGCACTTGACTTGTTTGCCAGGAAAAAGACAACTGCTGGGAAGGAGCAGCTCTTTCCTGCTTGCTTGGCTGCTTTGGGGCTCTACCCTCAGCAGCGGCCTGGGATGCCCGGTGGTCCCTTCTTGGACAGAGGATGCCCACCTCTTGTCATCTTTTTAGACTATGGCAAGTTTTAGGGTTCTCAAAAAGGTGAGGTCTGCTGTCTGCCTATCTTTCTATGTACTGCTTTGATAGGTTTACATTTTTGCACATTTCGTTTACATTTTGCACTTGAGAGAACAGAATGGTGTGGGGGATGGAGGATACTCAGTCGTGTGGCTTTGGAGCAAGAAGAGTTTAGGAAGAATCCATAATGCTGGGTTGAAATAGAAGCAGAGAGCTAGCTGGCTTTTTATTTAACTATAGAAAATTCTATCAGAGTCTTTTATGTTCAGACATCTCACTGGATTCATAGAAGTTTTGCAAACCAAGATAAAGTTCCTCACACTACTATGTATCTATGCTCACATTTATTTCAAAAAATCATGACTTTAATTCAACTTATGCTTGTCTCTTTCTTTTCTCACAGCATCACCTTCCATTGCCTCTATCTGCTTAGATATTTTCATGAAATTAAAATTAACAGTATAACAGTTTCTTATCCATGGGGCTACATTCCAGAGTTCCCCGACACACACATGACATCTTCCAACCCTCTATATGAACTGTGTTTTCTTCTGTACATATGTAGCAATAATAAACCTTTACTCAGAGGGAGCACTGTATGGATTCCCTTCTGCATTTTTAAATTGTTGGCATCACTTGCCTCTTGGGGACCATTATCAAGGTCCCGCAAAATAAAGGTAACTTGAACATAAGCCCTGCAGTACTGCAGTGGCAGTCCATCTGATAGCCGAGACAACTACTCAGAGACTGAGAGGTGGATCCTTTATATAGTGTGAGTATGCTGACTCAAGGGAGAATTCTCCTCCCAGGGGAGATGGAGCAGAGTGGCAAGAGATGTCATCGCGCTACTCAGCAGGGCATGCACCTCAAAATTTAAGAATAAATTATTCCTGGAGCTTTTCCGCTTGATATTTTTGAACCATTATTGGCTGTAAGTAACTGAAACTGCAGAAAGGCAGATGGAGGAGGAGCCTTGTGCATTATTTATGCCTGAACCCTCAGAAGACCTCCACCTGACATTGCTGGATGATTTCAAACTTGCTGTATCTGCTCTTTCAACCTTTAATTCCATTTTTATTTTGCTTCTCTGTTTCTAAATATATGTATGTATGTGAACTTTGACAGCTCATTTGGAGGTTCTGGTAGGGGGCCCAGCTATTCCTATACTCTTTTTTTTTTCTCCTTGAATGCCTTCAGGGCACTTTTGCATGGCTGGAGTGTTGTGGGGATCGAACTACAGCAAACTAAGGCTGCCAGCATTGTGGAAGCAGCCACTTAAAGAACTGAGCTAGGGCTGGGCCCCCTATTCCTATACTCTTGACCAAGGAAACAGTCCCTCTCTATTCGGGGTTGTTGTTCTCTTTGACAGAGCATGCAGCTTCAGGAGGGATACACACTGAATGGTGAGGGAGGAAGGGGCCCCCTGATGAGCCAGCCAGATCAGCCCTTAACCCTGGTGATCAATGGGGTGACAGATATTGCAGCCGGGTCGCCTCACAACTATACACAAATTGTTTATTAGCAGGCTTTATGGTTATGTAGAGATCCTGTTTGTCATCAAATTTGCACACACTAATTAGTATCTTCTCATAATTTTCTAACTCCATCATTCCAAGTAAGAGATGTAGAAGGAATGAGGAAATCAAAATTATTTTTATGAAATGTAATCGTTAATGCCCCCTTTACTTTCAAGCAATGCATTTTATATGAACGGCATAACCTATGTGCACATAAACTTGAACTGTAACTTAGAGAGAAATGGAAGGCTAGCCATGGGTGGTGACAGTCATCTGTATTCCAGTATGGTGATACCTTGGTGCTTCTACACAAGAGCACACCCTGGGAGCCAGCTACGTGCATGTAGAAAATCATGGTGGTGGGGTAGCTACCATGGTGGCTCAGAGCACAGTACCCCTGAGACACGGCTTGACCTGACCTGCTGCCGAGAGGCCCTACAGTCACCTTAGAGTCCAGGCCTTTTAGATGTTCCCTGGTTTTCCCCTGTCTAGTGCAGGGAGAAGCTTTCTGTAGAGCTCTTTTATCTGCCCAACCCAATCTGCCAAAAGAGGAACACCACTGAAATTTCTTGAACCAGAGGAGGCTGAACTTTTATTGCACACAGACTAAAGTCTGTCAGTACACCTGGAAACACATCTGGGCAGAGCTTTATTATAGACCCTTGTCCTCTATTTTGGTCCCATTTAGCATTCCAAAGCAAATCATTTACAAAGCTTTGGCTGTTCTGCAGGCTAACCAGACTCTGCACCCCAGGCTTTGTTTTATGTGTTCAAAGTCTGAGGAATTCCCCAGGAAGTCATTTGCTACCCCC